GTGTGCGTGTTTGTCACAAATTAAGTAAAGTATTTTACTATGATTTATGAAATCTTCGGTCTATCGGACCTTCGGTCTATAGGTCCTTTTTCACTGATATTCGGTCTATCGGACCTTCGATCTATAGGGCTGACCCCGTTTTTATATGACATTTTGTGCTTTGGGGAGGGTGAAAAAGTTTTGGCTGAAAATGCATATTTAGTTCCTATATGAACCTAGAGATGGCGCTTTCAATACTTTATAAAATAGCGTGACATTTATTATGTTTCAGTGAATTTAAAACAATTAATTAACCAATTAATCAACAAAGAATTAAACCAATTTCTTGCTGTATGATACTCGCTATGAAAAGCGGGGAGACTTTAGACATTCAATAGTTAACGAGGTAAGCTTTATCCATAGCCCTATGATAAAGTCAGCATCACAGCCATCAGTTATTGAGTGGGCACTTGGTCAAGCAAAGCGACTCTAGACTAGAGTAGTGAAGCTAGACCAATAAATTGTGCCCTAGAAATTTTTATATTCTGATGTTATTTTAGGGCAATAAGGCCTGAAAGGCCTAAAATAACATCAGAATATAACAATTTTTAGGGCACAATTTATTGGTCTATAGTGAAGCCAGCATGTCCACCGTTTAGGTCAGTCAGTGTTTCCCCTGCATTGACACGAGCGAGGCGGCCGCCTCGCTCAAATCTCAGCCGCCACGCAGAAATTTATCCAAAAAACACTGCCTCGCTGACGAAAATCACTGTTCTTCCATCAATAAACTACACTTTATTGACAGCGGTCGAAATTAGTGCCGACCCGGAGGCCCGAGGCCACCAAGTTTTTTTGCTTCGGCCACCATCTCTACGAAACTGCCGATCCTCCTGACCGGCACTTTTCCCCCTCATATTACGCTGAAATATTACGTCTACGGTTAATATCGCAACGGGTTATTGCAACGGCAGTTTAGACAGAATTGTAAAGGGGAGCGCATTCTAATACGATCCGTTCCTGAACGTAGACGGGGTATCCAAAACAGCTAAAGCTGAGGGCATGAACTCTCTCAACGCATGATTTGCCACACGAACAAAACCTCGTGCCAGTCTAAGAAATCGATTGCGGCAGCATGTAGCGTAGCTGGGCAGTGTTTTTATGACCGCATAACAATAAGTTCATATGTCGCAGTGAAAATAAGTTAGTTTAGTTAGTTAAATCCTTCCCACGTCTATATGGCGTATAGGGTGGTGCCTATCTCCATTACAGTAACCCTGAGGCCCCGCAGCTGCTTTCACAGTAAATGCTACTGGTAGCACGGCGGAAAATAAAACCACGATAAAAGTCACATGTGGTTGAGTTTCGTGGGCGATCGCGGTGCTAGACTGCCCCCGACGACCGCACTAACCGACTCGCGCTTGCCTTGCAGACGAGTACGTTGCCAGTCTACACCTGGTGGCGTTTGACGCTCACCTGACAGAGCTGGCAGATGAACAGTGCAAGTATCTCGGCATCAACAAGGTCGGACCATTCAAACCCAACTACTACAGGTGCGTGAGCACGCTCGCAGCATCCCGCCGTCGCCGCGGCAACGATCACATCCCGCGTCCGTCGCCGTGCGCGTGGGATGTGATCGCATAGGCTGTTTCTTGTCGTTTGAGGGGATATGCGTATAGGAACGTGGAATATATAGGAACCTTGTGAAACTCTGGCTGTTAGATTGTGATTTGAAATGCGTTGGGATTAGATTATTGATGGACCTGTGAGCGCGTGTTGGCTGGCCCCTGGCCACCGGATTGTTTCTTTATGAACTTTAATGATTACCAAGTACTAAGGATTTTGGGGGTTTTACAAAGTTACCGTACCTAGTTATCGTAAGTGTTTTACTGAGTTGTATTAATTAACAGAGTAACCAAGTCATCATGCTTAATTATAACAGTAATGATAACGATGATGATATTAACCATGATTAAGTACAAGTAATAATAACGATGATATTCTCTGTTATAGGTATTAATCGTCTGCGGACTCACAGGCCACGTCCGATCGCGCACAACCGTTGCCGTGGCGACAGCGGCACAGCAGCGACAACGTCCACTAGGTGGCGCTGCGGTGCGAGACTCGCCGCCACGGTTGCGACACTCACAGACGGACAGACGCAGTCGATCGACATACCGATGATCGTGTGATCGTAACAATTATACACGGAGGTCATGACGTCGTTGCCACGACGACGACGTCACGGTGACGTCACAAAATTGCCACCGTGATTTCGCGATGTTGACACGATGGCATCGCTCTGTTGCCACGGTGATGTGATGATGATGTGACGATGACATCATGGTGACGTCACTATGTCGCCACGCAGCGATAACCTGGTGGGAGGGGGGGATGAGAAGGTTAAGAGATGTAACTCGTGTTTTTTTTTACTGGTGGGGGATTCGTGTGCAGAAATAAGAGAGATAATATTTGCGTCGCACGCTGGAGGGTTAATCGTAGCTGCACTGCCTTCCGCAGTACTCTCCTCCGCTTAAGGTGCGCGCACACGTGGTATTTGTTTCTCAAGTAATGTGATGTAATTTACTCTAAAGGAATCAGTGTGCTTATGATGTGCTTGCGTCTGTGTGTGAGTGCGAGGTATGCATAACAACGTATGTGTGTGCGTGTGTATGTGTGAGTGCGAGG